ATAGTAGCGGAAATAAAAACACAAGCAGAGCTCGACAGGTGTTGGGCAGTTTTTCCAGTCTGGACTCCATGAAAAAGCTTCCCTTAGGAAAGTGCCCTGACAGACCGTGCGTTTCCTATGCAAAGGGAATTCCCTTGTCTGTTTTGCATCCCTGAAAGAACAGTTAGGACCAGGCACCGAGGAGATAAGTGTCAATTGCAGAATGATTTTCCACTAAAACGGCTACGTAAGGATGAACATTTAGAGATGTCAGAATTTATTTATAGGGTATTTATTTGTGGTCGCCCTAACTTGAAGGTCTTTGGAGATTCAGTTTGGTATTTCTGGTTTGGACTGCTGTGAAAATTTGTGGAAAATGTCTGTATCACTGTAAGTACAGCATGATTTATATTGGGTTACACTTTATTTTAAGGTGTCCTTGTTACAGTGTACTTATACATTTAAGTACTGAATAATATTAATTAAATACATGTACTTACTATAGGCTTAGGGTTTGGTTTAGGGTTACTTGCATGTAATTATGCATTATTTATTGTCATTATAATAGTAAGTACATGTAACAAGGACACCTAAGCGTTACCTTACATTGCTTATTAAGATATTGTGGATATTGTAGCGCTATATGGATAGCATCAATCAGTTCTATAATGAAATACATTGAAACTCTTGTTGATTACTCTATGCTTGACTTTTATTTTTTGTATTTTTCTGCCTTTTCTGCACAAGCTATGTTTATTCATTTAGTGTGGATGTACAGTACTTAAAATAAAACAGTTCTGCTTTTCAGATCAAATCTCTGTTTTCATGATGAAACCAGCAGACACTGTGATTTAATAATTAAATCAAAAATACAATTCTCTTTGGGAATTATTCTTTAAAAAGCTCCGTTTGTGGATTTAGGCATGGAAAAGTCATGTAAATTAATAAAATGTTCAACTCTATGGGCATTTTTATGATTAGAATTTTTTTTAAGTTGTCAAATATTTAAGCGAGTAGAAATTGTGAGCAAAAATATATTTTTTAATTGTTATCCTCAATTGTTATCTAGTACTGAAACTATGGAGGGCCTTGGGGTCATAAAGGCTGAGAAACACTCGGTTAAGGTTATGTTTCCAAATATCAGCCATATGAAAATCATTGTTTGTTTTGCACAATTCTGTTTTGTGCTGTTGAATGAACACTTACAGCCTCATCATCAGTATACACAAGTGCTGGCACACGTCACGGGTTCAGTCAGTGGAAATAGAGTGTTTACTTCCTCTATTTTGGTCTATAAAAAGTAATATTCAAATTACTAAGTCTCCATTCTATTTTTCAGTACTTGCTGCCGCTATGCTAATGAAGTATGTGTGTATTTCCTCATTTGGTATGAATGACGGAGTTCTCATTTACAAAAGTAAGCTTACTTTAACAGATGCTACAGAATTTGTCTCTGAATAGAGAGACCTAATTTTAGCACATACTGATTCACAGCCATTTAATGTGACAACACCAGATATCAAGTGTACTTTAGAGACGGCCTGTTGCATTGTCAACATTCTTGGCTCCCCGAGCAATGACACAATCCCATCCTGATTGGATCAGATCATATATTCACGTCTGGGATATTAAGTGGACTTGGGGGGAGATCCCCTTCAGATTCCCCCAGTGACAGATTCACAGCGTCATTTTAGCAGCTCACCTACACACACGTTGCATCTTGCCCACTGAGTAGAAATTAGCCTTTGGAGTCCCCCTCGAGTGTGTGTCAGTCTGTGTGTTTATTTATCGTGGCCCCCAGAACACACAGCATGATTCAGACCCCCTCCCACACACTCCGTTTTTACTTCATTAGGCCTTATCTGTCAGCTAATACTACTACACTGTTTATGTATCAATTGCCAAAGCGGATAATTCCAGAGTTCAGAATGGAGTGTTGTTGATTTGGCAGTCGTACGGTTGTTGGGGATTACTGGGGACGCCATGAGGTTAATTGAGGGAGTTGTTCGTTGGATGGATGCAGTCAGTGAATTGTCTTTATATGGATATATATGCATATGGCCCAAAAAGTATTTCCACACTTAAAGGGACAGTTCACCCAAAAATAAAAATTCTCAAGTTGTTCCAAACCTGTGTGAGTTTCTTTTTTTCTGCTGAACACAAAAGAAGATATTTTGAAAATGTGGGTAACCAAACAGTTGACGGTACCATTGGCTTCTATAGTATGGTGGAAAAAAATACTATAGAAGTCAATGGGGACCAGCAACGTGAGGCTGAGTAAATGATGACAGAATTTTTATTTATTTTTGGGTGTTTCATAATAAAATATTAAATGCCATTTTTATATACTTTAAGTTTGTAAGTTTATTTATTTTATTTATTATTATTATTTTTTTTTTTTGTGAGGTTTTAAATTATAAAATTGTAGATACAGTGTCCAAAATAGATATTAGATAATAGATTATGTGGCGATGTAACTAAATAATAAAAAATACAAATAAATAACAAATAGAACAAGTAGATAAGGAATAAAAATATACAAATTGACAATTGTATGTACAGGTATATAACAATAGACAGTTGTATATATATATATATATATATATATTATTGTTTATATAATTATTTTATATTATTATTATTGTTGTTGTAGTTGTTATTTTGAACACATTTTTGGTACATAATTTATTAGGCTCAAGGCCAACGTACACATGTCAACCGGGTCTCGGGTACCTCATCACTCTGTCTATTGCATCAGCATCTTCTGAGCATTTCAGCGCATGCATGGCAGGCTGGATTTCTACTCTCGCTGGGTAATAGGAGCGCTGTGCCTGTGATTGGCTTGGATGAGGAGTGAGGAATTTTAGTTGGACACGTGGGAAATCTCATGCGCCACCCTGGCCTCCTAATTAGATTACATACAGACAAGTATGTCATCTTTTTCTATTTTCTTCTATGTATAATAATATATAGCGAGGTGTATTGTTGTTGTTGTTTTTTATTAATGTTTTTAGAATCAGAATCAGAATCAGAATGAGCTTTATACAAGCATCTAAAATATTATTTATTTGTTTGTTTGTTTATTTATTTTGCATTGTTACCATGCCATGTATAGTACACTTTAAATTAAACAAGCATCTAAAATATTATTTATTTGTTTGTTTGTTTATTTATTTATTTATTTTACATTGTAACCATGCCATGTATAGTACACTTTAAATTAAACAAGCACCTAAAATAATTATTTATTAATGTATTTGTTTATTTATTTTTTTAAAAAAAAAGGTTTTCTCCATTTTGCTTGGTAGGTATTGTCTTGTTTTAGCGGTCTTTAGTATGGTTGTGTGAACCACCGGCTGGCAGGGTCTGTGTTTCCCCTTCACTGTTATTCTCCCTAAACAAAGTCAACCATTTGCAACAAGGGACAGTTTTTTTTATTTCTTCTAAAAGTCTCAGATAAGATATTTTCTCCCTGGTTTCTAAATTGGTGAAACACGACCCATGACGTTTTGCCCTCTGCGGTTCCTTTAATGGCTGCGGGTTCCGATCGCTTTTCCACTTTGCAGCTCTTAACCGGAACCTCGCGAACCAAATACAGACAGCGAGGGGCGTGGCCGGATCATGGCCTTATTTGGAGTTTCCACTTCAGTGGCGAACTGGGCGCTCGAGGCCAAAGCCAAGCCTACAGATTTGCCGCGCGCCTGCAGTATTTACACGCGATTAACTCTCTGGCAGTTACAGTCTTTGTATAACCCAGGCACAGTTACTCGTGCTTCTCCTGGTCTTGATCATCTGTTGCAGTCAATTGCTTAAACCCCTTAGCTGACGTTTACAAATGATTAATGTGGGCTTTCATTTTTATTGAACTCGCAACACAAACTGTTGAACGCTTTTTTTTTTGTCTCTGTGCACTGATGAGACTCCATTCTCATGATATTCTGACCGATCTGTGACCTTTACATGCAGTCTGACAGCCCACACTGACCATATGGAGAATATAGTAAAAACAGGTTTTAAGTATCATTTGAAATCATATTACAATCAAGATACAGAACGCAAGGTGTGTACACTGCGCTTGGCGTTTCTATATATCGATAGACAGACAGAACTATTGATTTATTTATTTATTGACACACAAGTTAAAGAACGAAAAAAGAAAAGAAAAGCACCATAGTAAATTGACAGGCAACTGCATATTTAAATAGCCTAGCAGTGTTATCAATCCATTCTGAATAGTAAAAAGTGGATATGTTGGTGTAACCTACTGTATTCAGTCATAACGAATATAAGGCTATTATAATTAATTAGCCTATTTTTATTTATTTATTTTTAGTTGAACAAAAGTAGTTAATTTAGACCCTTATACAGGAGAATGTAATAAAAGTCCCTTTCTTACTATCTTTACACAGCTGAGTAAAAGTGACTGTGGGTTTAGCTATCAAATACGGCTTTTGTGGAAATAATGCCGCATCAGTGCAGACGAGAGAGTACACATTTTATCTTTTATAATTGATTTTTTTTTTATAATTGTATATTTTCCTTAATAATTTCATGTCTATATTTATAATTTTAAATAATAAAAAAAATTGTAATATTAGCCTAGCTACTGCGATAGCAAATGCACGTATTCCGCTTCTGCACTAAACAATGTATAAACGCACTTTTCATGCTATAGATATGCAGCTTCAGGTGCAGTGCAGGCAAAAAAAAACAAAGTTTCCCGGTTTACACAGTCATGCGCTCACAGATCTAGCAACATCCATGCTCACAAAACACTTCTTACTCTTCGCCGGCTCCAATTGTCACCCAAGCCGATGAGAATGTCCCTTCACTGCTCCACTGAGCACTTATCTCCCTGCTACCGACTCTAATGTTCCACTATGAGGAGCTTCCATTCCATGTGACGTCGAGCGGCCGTCTAGCTTTGTGTGTCCATATATGGTCATCTACGTCACGCAGTTGTTCCGTCCCCCAGTTGAAAGCGTTGGAGTTCCCTGCGCTCGCTACACAGCGAGCAGCGCTACACTTGTGCAATCACCACCACCGCCACCAACATCTCTCTCTGCTCATCCAGAGACAGTAACACTTCACAGAAATCAAACACCAAGCAGTCGACAATCATCCTCGCGAGGAGACATCAGCGCGGTGCCCGTTGCGCGCTCGGATACAATTCCAAAGGGATTGCGATCTCTTTCTGTCGCTTTTAGAGAGATTTCAGAAGACTGGAGATCGATCGGGACGGAACACCTGTGCGTGCTCATTAATGACAGACTGAATAACTGCTATGACAGGTAAACTAGCGGACAAGATCCCTATTACCATGAGCAGTTTAATCAACACCATCCCTGACAGTCTCTATCCAGAAGAAGACATTCCCAATTCTATGAACATTTTCACAAACCCGGACTCTATTTCGCACTACTCGCAGATGAATCCAGGTAAGGACGAAAAGTTTGGGCTCGCTCCTCACTAAGCTGTTGTTGGAGGTTGTACGCTGTTGTGTCGGCTGGTTAGAGTTTTGTTGTGCGGCATCAGTTGTCTTGAAGCCCCGCAGCACCTGTTAACGAGCGCCTGCTATACTCACAGTAGTTTAGTAACAGAACTCCTCATACTGCTACAGTTGCTATTGGAGACTTTATAAACTGATTGCTTCAGCATGACTCCTCTCATACAGTCTTCCAAATGTTCTTCTCAATTCGGAGTGTGCAGGCTTTATTTTGTAGCGTATTTAGGCTACCTAAATACTGATTGATAATAACGAACGGCATGGATATGTAGCCTAATTAATGTAGCCTATGAGATCGCTTTGTTATTTTGTAATATTGTTATTGTTATCAAATGTATTTATGACATAACATTATAATGAGATCCTTAAAGTAGGCTAAAGTAATGTAGGCTATGATTTAATAGACGAAATCCCCACAGTTGCGCTTTGTCTTAATGGAATCCTGCGATGAAATTGCGTTTAATTTGTTGCCAAATTGTATATTATGAAAAAAGGTGTGTGAAAGTAGTTAAACTGTTCCAGTCACGTGATATGAGTGTGAACTGGACAGGTAATATCAGGTAATAGGTATCATTTCGAGCCCACGCGTCACGGGACACGCGGAAACACCTCGTTATTTACTCACAATTCATACATTACACAGTCGTGAAAGGTATATTTGTTGAATATTAATCCTGTCAAATAAAGACAAAAGCCGTTTCGTTTTCCACCGAGCGCTTTATTTCCGTGAAAACTCTTCATTTCGGGTTCTCTCCCTAGCCTGATATTGCGCCGGTCTTATATTCTGTTCTGTGATAGATATAATGTTTAGTTATTCTCTTATTTAAAGGTTTTGATTAGTCAATGCTTTACCTAGTATTGACCCTGTTTCTGACCCTCCACACGCGCGGGTGGGCGTTTATATGCGCGCTGCTCTTAAAAAAGCTCGGGCCACTCGTGAAAACACGTGAAATGTAAAATCCCTAAATTAAAATATATCTAGCCCCCGAAAGGTTTATTACCTGAATTTCACATCGCGTGGTTTTTTTTTTTTTTTTTGTATTCTTTTCACTTTACTCTCGCACTTTTAAAAAATGTTTGTCCTTTTAAAAATAATAAAAAAATTTCTCGGCACATTAAAAAAAAATAAAAAACTCTTCTGGACCAGTATTTTCGCCTAGAATCTAGTGAACAATACAAAATAAATTAAATCGGACTACTGGGTAAGATAATGGTGCCAGAATATTGAGGAATTCCTTCCAGTCATGTCATCAAATTGTTAGATTTTTTTTTCTTAATGTCGCTGTATTTTTTTCCCCCTCTCTGTCTCTCCTCCTGAAATATCAAATATATTTAATTGAAAGCTTAAGTAGTTGATATAAAAAAAAAACATCAACAAAAATCAATTAAAAATCCCACACTCTACGAGGGAATTTTTAGCTTTAGTGCAACGTCATTAGCCTTCTATAACTTTATCATTTTGCGACCTTAAAAAAATCAGGTGAAGAGTTGTCAAAATATCGTAGTTATATTCGAGAGTGAAAGCATAAGATCATTCGTCCTCTTGATGTATATACTGATGGAGTTTCGCAAAGCTCTTGATGTGGTTTTCACTCTGCAGGTCAAAAGAGGCTATGCTTCCCACACTTGCGGGAGAGTATTGACCTCGTTTCGTTTATTAAAATATCAAAATTAATACGAAATGTGAATGCCAACTTCCGACTGAAAATGCTAGTCCTTATCAAATGCGTGAGTTCTAGAAAAAGTGAACATTTTGAGAACAATTTCTCAGAACATGTAGATTTTTACATTTTTAATTTTTTAATTTTTAAAAGAAATTATTTCCCCTCAGTCATAAAAATAATAAAATAGGCTATATAAATAAATAAAAGTTACATAATATAGATATATAAATAGAATAAAAAATAATATATATATAAAAATATCAAAATTAATACGAAATGTGAATGCCAACTTCCGACTGAAAATGCTAGTCCTTATCAAATGCGTGAGTTCTAGAAAAAGTGAACATTTTGAGAACAATTTCTCAGAACATGTAGATTTTTACATTTTTAATTTTTTAATTTTTAAAAGAAATTATTTCCCCTCAGTCATAAAAATAATAAAATAGGCTATATAAATAAATAAAAGTTACATAATATAGATATATAAATAGAATAAAAAATAATATATATATATATATATATATATAAGGTTATAGGGTTACACATATTGTGATATACAAATTACTTACTTTTTTGTACAGATGTTATGTAGATATATTTATAGATTTCAGACTCCATGAGAACTTTCTGTAAGCACACTTTATTAAATCTGCACCCTATCTCTGTGGGACAGCTTATCACAATGTTTCAAGGTGACAAACCCTTCTTGTCCTTACAAAGTGTCCTACCAAACGCCCCTGTAAAAGATACCCACAAGTGCATCTCCACACACATCCTGTAATGACAGGCATAGCATGAAATAAATAGTGTTTTTTACTTATCACTGGAATACACGCTTCTCTCTTTCTCTCTGATTTCTGCCCGAATGAGTCTTTTCCTTCAGACGCAGCACAGCATCTCTTCACACATGTACCTTATGTGTGTTGAACAGATGCGAGGACCATCTGTAATTTTCATTCTGTTTGTTTCTACCGTAAGCCACAATTTGGTGTACACACTGCGATTACTGTAAGTGCACGTACAAGACTAAACTTAGTGAGCCGTCGTAAAATGTTGAATTTACAGACGTGTTGTGATCAGCAGTGTATTGTGTTCAACAACAGACATATTAAAAGTGATTGAAGTGACTACAATACATCAGATCCTTGTTTGGTACATTTTCGAGCAGCCGTCAAGTGTCTCTCTGAAAAGACTGAAGGTGTGGGAGAGAGAGAGAGAGAGAGAGAGAGAGATCGAGTGCGTATAAGAGTAACAGTGATGTCAATCGTGACATCCTGTTGTACGGAGAAGCCTGATTGCCAAATAAGTTCCAGTCCTACGACTGAATACGCAGCCGTTTAGACTTTGTGACAGAAAGACAATAAGTTGGCGAGGGTGGAGGGAGATATTGACTGGAATCTTAAATCACTGTGCATTTCTGATTTTGTCAATTTCCACGCCTTCATTCGGACTGATATGCTTCACTTTCTTCTCTTTTTTTGGAACAGGCGATTAACAGAGGTATGCCGAGATGTTGTTTCCGAGACCAACTTAAGAATAAAGTTATAAAACAAGCAAGTGATAGTCAGTTAGTGCCTATTAGCATAGATTCTCCTAGAAGCTTTCTCTGTAGATGCAGAACTTTCCACTAGTCACTTTCCCATGCATAGTTTCTTTGACCATTATTGTTCAACGTGTGGCATTCTGAATTGACGGTGTTCATTCTGACCCCCTGTCACACAGATAATATCATGGACTTGGGGATGGGCGGCGAGAAGGGCAGTGGAGAAGTTCAATACGGCTCCGGTTTCCAGTCTGGTCGAAGCGGGCAAACCGTCACCTACCTGGGCAAGTTCGCATTCGACACCCCTCCATCCGGCAGCATCGGAGGCTCCGGATGGTGTCCCGACAACAACATCATCAGTCTGGTGAGTGCGGGAATCCTGGGGGTGTCACCGTCACCTGGCAACATCACCACCCAGACGTCTTCGTCGAGCGGCAGCATGGGTGGCCAGTCGTCAGACATGGAGCAAGTATACGCACCACCCCTTCCTGCCTACTCGACCTGTGGCGAGATATACCCAGAACAGGTGACGTTCCACCACAGCCCGGCCACGTCCTCGTCTCTGCCCTACCCGAGCTCTGACTACCACACCACCTCCAAACCGGGCATGGACGGAAGCCTCTTTTCCATGATCCCAGACTACAACCTCTTCCATCACCAGGGGGACGTAGGGATGATGGAGCATAAACCCTTCCAAACCATGGACCCTATTAGAGTGAACCCACCTCCCATAACTCCCCTCGAGACCATTCGAGCCTTTAAGGATAAGCAACAGATCCATCCCGGCTTTCTCGGTGGGCAACAGCACATTTCCCAACACCATCAACCCTCTCAGACACTCGCTCTGAAACCCATTCGACCAAGAAAGTACCCCAACCGGCCGAGCAAAACTCCCGTGCACGAACGACCGCACGCCTGCCCGGCGGAGAACTGCGACCGTCGCTTTTCGCGATCAGACGAATTGACGCGTCACCTGCGCATCCACACGGGACACAAACCCTTCCAGTGCCGCATCTGCATGCGATCCTTCAGTCGCAGCGACCATCTAACCACGCACATCCGCACGCACACTGGCGAGAAGCCCTTCTCTTGCGAGTTCTGCGGACGCAAGTTTGCGAGGAGCGACGAGCGAAAGCGGCATGCCAAGGTGCACCTGAAACAGAAAGACAAGAAACCCATGGACAAGGGCAGTAGCGCTGGGCCAGGGGGGAGCCACACCTCTCCTCCCAGCTCCTGTGGGAGCGCGGGACCCAGCAGTGCCAATATCATGACCGTCACCACTTGTGCATGAGATGGACTTGCAAAGTAAGACTTTGAGGAGAAAAAAAGAAGGTTTCTTTCTCCTCTTATATACACACTTGACTCTTATACTCGCTCCCTCTCACTATATCCATCCGTTTCCTACGGTTTTCATTGATTGTGGTGGCATTTTTCTGTAGCCACTATTGTTTAAGGTCAAATGAGTGGGGAGTAAGTGGACTCGTGTTGCATGGATGGGACAGAGAGGGCGTCAAAGACGACGGTTCAAGCAGTCAGGTCAATCCACAGAAAGAGCACTTGCAGACGCAGCGCAGTCATAAGGGTTCAACTCTCAACTCTGGGGACCAGAGCAATCTCTTGAGATTTTAGTCTTTTCATTTTTCCTTGTATTTCGGTTTGTCATTGAGTTGTCAGATAAAAAGTGCACTTTCATTTGCTTAATGTGTTGCAGTCTTTTTAAATGATTGTTAATTATTTAATGTTTCTGTGTTGTTGTTTTTCAGCAGAATGTGCCAAATGCATTTAAATACAGCAGACAATTAAAAAAAATATATTGTTTGTATTAACCTAATAACTTCATTTCAAATGTTGATTTGGGGAAAACCTACGAGCTCTGAAGGCTCAAGGAGACTGAGTTCAGGTGGACGTTAAAGGTCTGTTGCATTATGCAGTTGCGTTATTTTACTATTTCCAAATCCCTTATATACACAAGTAAGGGATGCAGACGGCATTTGTTATCCGCAACGGACTTTCAGTGCAATAAAAAACGAAAAACAACAACAACGACGACAATAAAACACAGTCTGTCTCACTTTCACAAGTTTGCTTTCTACAGTAGGGATTGAAATTAAGACACAGCTGTGGCCTTCACCTGTTTCGCTTCTTTTAGTGCGCATAAGGGCCAAACCTGCAGTTCTGCATATCTACTTCTGGTAGAGTGAGATACAGTGATCCGATCCAAACATTTTGCCTTTCTGTTTTTGCTGCCTGTATCCCTGCATGCATCTAGTATCACGTCTTCGCTAGTACTAAAAAGATTGCATCAGTCACGACTGAAGACCCACAGCAATATGCATCCAATTCAAACCATGCAGAGTGTCAACAACAGTTACTACTTTAAAAATGACTATTTTTATGTGACAATTGTCCTTTTGTTGTCATTGTTTTACTGGACAGTTGCGTTTCCTGCTTTCATCATCCAATAATTTTCATCGGGTCTCTTTTTATGCACATTATATATTCAGCACGCATTTTAACACACATGTACACACGGTTTTCAAAAACGAAATCAGCCAAAATTATGGTAATGCTTGCCTGCGAGCATCACTACTGGGCAGGATTGATCTTAGGAGTCATTGTTTTGCATTTTTACCGGCTGAGGCCTGCCTGCTATATGCATGCCATTCAAGATGCTTTTGGATGGGAACAGTTTCAACATTTATACTGCTCTCAGGGGCAGCACGGTAATGTGGTATATCTCCACGGTTACTCATATCCGGATCATGCCTAGAGATTCTGAATATTAATGATGAGAACGAGAGGGGGTTTTGTACAGATAATTATACAAACATATTACTACATGTTTTCTACTTGGAATGTACAAAGCAATGTCCTTCAGTATTACGATGTTTGTTCGTGCATGTGTGTGTGTGTGTGTGTGCGTGTGTACACGTGTGTATGCTAATGCATACGCAAACACCCGTATACTTAGATTTTACATTGACTGAATGTTGAAAAAAAGGGTGTGTTTACATTTTTGTTTTCTTTCTTTCTTCTGTTTTTGAGATTGTGTACATAGTGCAGAATGTTTTTTAAGTGTGTGTGTCTGCAAGAAAAATCGACTATTGACAGTGTCAAATGTGATGCATTCTCCGGCATTTCTTCAGAGTCTCAAATATTATCTGTTATTAGCGCAATTTTACAAATGATGACTTGCGGACACACTGAATGATGTGTTTAATAAATGAATAAACAGTAAGATTATTTGGTGAAAAACTCAAAGCAAAAACTTGTGTATCTCATTATCTTATAAGCAAACTATGCATACGAAACACTACAGTTGTATTTAACTAATTTCAGAAAGTTGAGCTTTCATTTAAATCCTACACTTCAAAGACTTAAAATTGAAACAACAATTCTAAATAGTTTTGACCATATGGTCCCATATATAAGCACTCCTCACTCCTGGCTTACATTCCCAGAAAAATTAAATCATCCACATTTTATACCATATTTTTGGCAGGCTCTCGCCATCTTGGGCAAACCACTTCTGCAACGTATCTTCTGGCAGAATTCCCTTTTTTTTTTCTCTTGGTGAGGTCATGCATGAATAACTAATATAATAGTGATATTTAAGATAAATTTTGAACAATTAAATATACAGAAATAATTTGACCATTAAAATTAATTCCCAAAATGTCCTTTAATTTAAAAAATGCAGCTCCTTATAGGCAATATAGAAAATGCTCATCAGGTTATAGCTCTAGCAGCCGAGTTAAAATAATAAATGCAATATTTATCTGGGGTGCAAAACGGAAATGATACAAACCAAATATTGATCCAGAAACTCATCTACATACTGCTGAAATCTGCCGAAAGCTAAACAGGCATTCTGAATGTATGCATTGGCATTATTGTCTTGAATTATGCATCGATATGGCCCTTAATGTCAGAATTGTGTACACAAGTAGGTTTGTACCTCTTAACCTCTCTCAATGTAAGTGAAGAAGGGAATATTACATATTAGATTTCTGAGTGTAAATGTTGGGTTATAACAGTTTCTGTAATATCGGGATCTGTTCAAGGTCTCTCCTCAGCTCTTTTTTTTCTTTTTAGAGAAATATCTTCATTTCTGAAGCACACATGGTATGAGAAGTATTGTTTTTTTTAAATAGGAATACATACAAAACAGCTTCTGGCTTAATTTTTTTTATCTGTTATTTTCTTTTTGCTTTCTTTCTGTGCCAAGACACATCAGAATGCAGGGCCAAACTGCAGCAGTAAAAATAGCGAAGCAGTTCTCAGATGCGATACCCGACGGAATTGTGTGCATGCAATGTGTGCGTTTCTTCAGTTTGAAGGGAACAATTTACGTTAGGAGCTGCGTGCTGAAAAGCTATGGAGATGCAAAGGAAATCCATCTGGCGAATGTGTTTAAGTGATTCTAACGTAAAACACAATATCCGTCACGACTCAGATTTTATGAACACGAAGTAAAAGTCTTCCTCATAAAGTTCTGTGAAGCAACAAGCAGTCGTGACCTCCGGAAAACGTGTGCTTATGTGCGTGTGTTTGTTTTTGAGCATGCTTGCATGCACCTGTATATCTGTGCTGAGTGCTTCCATGCATATTTTCCATTTTTGTATGTATGAGTCAATTTCACTAGAATAGCCAAAAATAAATAGCTGTGACCCTGTGAGTACAGTATCAGAGAAACTAGCTCAATATTAGCCCTCCCCACCTGTTAAATAAATATATATATATAGATGAATGATTGAAGTTTCAGTATCATTTGCAATTAATCAAGAACTTTGCAAGCCTTTTCACTCAGTGCATTAGTATAATATGAAGCAGCCCGTTTTTGGGGCAAATGGATATCGTGACGAGTCTCACAACTCAACTCAACCCTTCCCCTCGTCATGGTCTCAGCATGACTGTTCACTGTCCGGCTTTGGATCAGAGCCAGGATGAACAGCCTTGTTTCTGCCAAACCGGGTTGCAGGCTTGGCTGCCATGGAACAATATGCGCAGAGGACAGCACAGAAATGTAAATGTGACCCTAGTCGGCTCTGAAGCAGGCCCTGTTTCACAACACTGATTCACTATTGTTTACCTGATTACTTTACTCTCTGTAACCCTCTCATTAAAGACTGAGAGTAAACATTCAGCATCGGCCCATGACGCTGTCCACTGCGCTGTACACGATCAGTGACTCATCTCCTCTACAAAAAAAAAAAAACACAAGCGAAAGAAGAAAGTCATCTTTACTGATGCTCATCCGTTCTCATAACGTTTCCGGTTTATAGTGTGCAGATAAATACTTTGTTGTGTGGCCGATATTTTGGTATCCGTATTCTTTTTCTACAGGACTGTATCTCTTACTGCATGTCTTGCATGTCTCTTATCAGATGGAGGCACTTAGAGTTGTTTGTGGTCACGTTTATGCGTATGAGGGACACAAGCGTGGGATTTAGCTCACTAGAAGAAAGGATGTTTTGATACGTTTTTACCTCCCGTTACTTCCATTGCCTTATAGTAAGGCCCAGTGGTAAAATCTCTTAATTGTTCTCAAAATGAATTGATGTTATCCTTTTGTGGAGAGGAAATGTTCACTTGGCTTCTCATTTTGTTGTAAATTAAATGTTTTCCAGTTGATGCGTACTTGAATACACACCTGAATAAAATACAACAGAATCCATTGTGTATTTGTGTGTGTGTGTGTGTGTGTGTGTTGCACATATACAAAACAAAAAAATATGTCAACAAACTGGAAAAGATGGAATAAATTACCTAAATTTGAAGGTGTGCGTGGCTAATTGAAAGAAAAAAAGTTGTATGAATAAAAATATATTTAGCAATTGTATATAAATATAAATCAGCTTTATTACCACAGGGTAGTCAATTACTGTTAACCTTTATATGTAAAAATTCTCATTTTAAGATTTGGCTTGGAAGACGACATCCAGAGAAACTAACAGACAAAAATGCTTTAATCAGCTTGTACTACTGTTATGTCATCTGCTGCATTGAATGCTGAAGTTCTTTAAAATCCAGTAAATTATGTTTGGCTGTCAATGTAATGGAAGGGGGCGGGGAATTGCCCTGAAAGGGATTCCAACGATATCATTCCCCTGTTTCGTTATCGTTATAGATGTGGTGTGGACTTATCTATCCTTGAAAAATTTTTCTTTTTAACATTAACAAAAACGGTAATTATAAAAAATATCTAGATAACTATATCAGTGGCCGCACCAATGCACCATTCTGTTCTATTTGTTCTATTTCTGCTGCTTTAAATACTTGAGCATTTTTAAAGCAGGATGGATTCTGATTGGCTGTAATTTTTTAATCGTTCATCAGCAGAAAAAAAATGTTCTGAAAGTGATTTCAAGGATATTGTTCGTCTGTGTCGTTATCATTATAGTTGTGATGTGGACTCTGCTATTCTCATAGAATTTGAATGATTATTAAAACTTTTTAGTTACTGTTATCTTTATAGTCCTTAATGTGAATAGGCCTATGCCTTAAGACATTGACATATTTAAATAATATGAGATAATGAGATTTCTTTAATATCTAAATTTGTCCTCAGCAACAATGATTTTAACAAAGATCAGAGATTTCATTTCTTATCAAATTTAATTATCTTAAAGTAGGCCTACTCAAGTTACCTGAGCCATATAGCCACATTGTCTCATTGTGTTTATTCATACTTCTGCTAAAGATTTCAGGAGAAGTATGAGATAAAGTTCAAATTAAACACACCTGAGAACTCAATTAACTCAACTCCCCAGAGCGTTGAAAGAGCCACTCTTCAGTAATAGCTTATTGGTAAAGGCCATTGGATGTATTCGACAGCCCTTATACGTTCTCTTTAAAGAATGGACAATAAATAATGCTGAAGATCAACTATTAAGAGAAACTAAGAAATCTTGTATCATTGCAATAGTTCGGTTTGCGTATAGTCTCCATAAACGCATTCTAATCTCAGTGTGTGTGAATGTCTCCTGAGGTACCTGTTGCGCGGCTGTAGTTTGACCTCTCCGCTTGCCGTAGTTTAAATCCTCGCGACCTCTGACTTGCAGTAAACTTCTCTACTTCCTGTTCGCCGTCCCACTCTTATAGACTGAAAAGGCGATGGTTTTGAAGGAAAGGGATTATATTTCGATTGATTTGGATTGAATTTGAGCACAAGATGAGCTGGTATGTATCACAACGCTTATGTGGGCTAATAAATAATAATAACGCGTTTGTTTTCGGACGACGCGTAGTGTCGCTGACTGCGTCTCAAAACATAGTGAGCTGCCTACCTAGACTGCACTCCGAGCGGTCGAATACACCTAAATTGCTGTCTAGCTAGGCAGCGAGCGAGCGAGCTTTTGACACAGCGCCGTTGACTGGCTAGTGAGCTCGCGAGGCACTATTCTAACATTGTTTGAGGTTACAAATGAGTTTAAACGTTACATAAACACTTAACAACGATATGTAGAATTCCACATGTGTTTTAAATGTCCCGTTTTCTGTATATATATAAAATTGTATTTCGCTTGTTAGCCCATAGCTCTTCCCCCTAGTCTCAGTAACGTTAGCTAAGTTAGCTCACAAGCCCTCGGAGACACGATGTTTACAGTCTGAAGTATCAATGATTCACTTTTAATATATTTTAAAATGTTTATATAATGAATAAAGGTTATTTGATTTTTATTTTAAGCTACTTTAATTCTAAAAAAAGCATTTATTAAATGTAGGCACACTGTGATATGTGTAGCCTACGTCTAAATGTATGAATCATTTCTAATGGATTTGGCAGAGATTATGCGTTTCAGTCTGTTTACATTACATTTTAGAACTTTTTTTATTCTGTATTCTTGTCCTAGAAATTAGTAGCCTACACTGATCTGAAGAACCTATAATGTAACATCACAAACTTTGAATCCAAAGAACTTGCTATATACAGTAGCAGCTCAAGAATCCCTATGACTCTAGATAACAAGAGGGTTCTTTGCTGAGGGGTTTTCAAAGAACCATTGAAGAACCTATTTTTTAAGTGTAGTTCCCTTCATCAGTCTGTCTTTCACTGGATTCCAGGAAACTAGAGACTTGTAAGCATTTGTTTTAGGTTGAACACAATGGACCACTGTCGACTTGTGTAGTTTTGCCCTGTCAGTTTGTTATGCTTTCATCAAGATGTAAGAGAACTTGGGAAAGACATTGCCATTAAACTACAAAGGTTTGACAGTTTTGTTTGTAGATAACATAAT